AGCTTCTAATCTTGTCCCTCTATCTGGATTCTAGCTTCTTATTTGGTCCCTCTATCTGGATTCTAGTTTCTAATCTGGTTCCTCTATCTGATTCTAGTTTCTAATCTGGTCCCTCTATCTGGATTCTAGTTTCTAATCTGATTCCTCTATCTGGATTCTAGTTTCTAATCTTGTCCCTCTATCTGGATTCTAGCTTCTTATTTGGTCCCTCTATCTGGATTCTAGTTTCTAATCTGGTCCCTCTATCTGGATTCTAGCTTCTTATTTGGTCCCTCTATCTGGATTCTAGTTTCTAATCTGGTCCCTCTATCTGGATTCTAGTTTCTAATCTGGTCCCTCTATCTGGATTCTAGTTCCCAATCTGGTTTCTCTATCTCAACTGGAAATAAGAACCAAGGAAAATTGTTATTGTGTGATGAACTGTCAACCAATCACAGCTCAGAACGGAAGTCAGGTGACCGTCCGTCCGCCATCTTTGTTAGTGGCAGTGAAGCCGTGGAGGTGAAGAGAGGAAATCGGCGGAGTTTCCGTGGAGAAGCAGCAGCGGTTGGGGCGGCACCATGGTCCAGACCTGCTCCGCATACGGCTGTAAGAACCGGTACCATAAAGACAGAGACATCTCCTTCCACAAGTAAGTGGTTCTGAAGGAGCCGCTCGCTGCTAACGCAGAAGCTGATCGCGCATCTACTCTCAGTATTACGGTTCGCAGCTTCGTGGTGCTTTTGTGTTCACCTCGGAATTTACGCAATCGTCGTGTGAAGCTTTTCATTCTTCTTTAGGTTTTAACGGCAGCTTGCATCCATTACTGTTGCTCTGCTGCCATCTAGTGGATCCTAATATTTATCCCTCAAATTCCCAGAATGCTCTCAGTATTTTTCTAAAAACGAAAAATCTTCTTCCGCTCAATATTATTTTACTTTTCAACCAAATTTTCAAATTTCAGTTCCTCATTAATACCTAATTCTGCTTTTAGTAATGCTCTCTGATTTACATATTTTCTACCACTATTAAAAACAAGTTCCATTGTTTCTACTTTAAAAACCAGTAAGATGTTTCCCGTCCTCAAAAGATTTCCATTTAATAAACTGTGAGCTGTTCTTATTCTATTTATAATTATCTCCTCCCTCCTGTTTGTTCCTCTAATCTTTGCTAATTCTACTGTATTTTGTTTCTTATATAAACGCTTTTATGTCAGTATTCCTCCTAATTTTCCATTTCTTCTCGCTTTCTGTCCAAACTAAACTTTTACCTTCAGATGTAAATAACTTTACTGGTGTAACTATATCTTTGTTTCTAAACGCCTCCTGAGTTAACCCACCTGCTCTTTCACTTCCCAAAATACCTACATGAGTCCAAAATAAGATTATCATTTTATTTTGTTCATATAATCTCTTATTACATATTTGGATGATTATTTGTACATTTTCAATACTTAACAATGCAGATAATGTCTCACTATAAATTATGATTTTATTTATATTAGTGTAATGTTAAGAACCGTTTTACTTTTCTCAATATTATGTTCTATATGATTTTCCCAAGTTAGTTTCTTATCAAAAACGGAAACAGTTTATTTCCCGTATAAATACCACTTTTTATCAACCCCATTGTTTTGTTTTTTAACTGAAAAGTCGTTTCGGTTGAAAATGAAAAAATCCACTTTCTCCGATTGCAGAATCACAGTCAGCAATAAACCGTGAAGCTTTGATCTGTTTTTAGCCTTTAGGACCCAGTTTTTAATGCAAACTCTGCCGATTTAAGCAAGAGATTTAGAACATTACTTCTGATCAATAATCTCAGATTTTTCAGTGAAGAAAAACAGTAAACTTGTTTGGATAAATGCTGCAGGATCTGTCTGCTGTTTTCATGGCAGCAGCCAGTTATTCCTTCAGATGGGAGAGAGACAGTCTCACACACTGGTTAATTGATGTATTTATTATTAGACGGCCTCTGGAGATGAAACGTCTCATTTTGAGTCCAGGAAGCCAGAAAGGATTAAATAGTAAAAACTAAATGAACTGCAGTTTAACTGCTTATTATTCATCCGTTGGTTCTCGCTTCAACCATTAACTTTACAGTTTTTCATTTTCAGAATAAGCTTTCTTTATCAAGCTTAAAATACACAAGGAAGGACAAATAATTCCCCCTGGGCCGATTTTTCCCAGCAGGAGCTTCTCCTCTTTCACATAATACGCAGCTTAATACGATACAAACTAGACTTCAAACCCGCCTCTATGATCGCCTGCTGGAGCTACGCTCACAAAATGTTTTAAATCCAGACATTTTTGACCGTTTAAAAAGCTGCTACGGACGGATGTAAACAAAACAACAGCGGAACGTAACAGTAGGAGGAAGAGATAAGCGAGATGGTGAAAGTGAGGAAGCAGCGGGTTTACATCATCATCACAGCTGGAGTTAAAATGCTGGATCCAGCTTCTGCTCTGCAGACATGGAGTTTCTGACTGTTACCTGCAGGCCGTTCTATCTGCCCAGAGAGTTCAGTGTGGTTAGCATCACTGCTGTTTATGCCCCCCCCCCCCAGCGCTAACACTAAAGAGGCCATGAAGACTCTATACCAGGCTATCTCTGAGCTCCAATCTGCACACAGAGGCTGTTTCCATCATTGCTGGGGATTTTAACCAGGCTGACTGGAAGACTGTTCTCCCTCATTTCTACCAACAGGTGGACTTTGCAAACACTTTAGACCTGCTTTACTCTAACATCAAAGATGCATTCAATTAAGTTTGTTTTTGTTTATACTGTAAACAAAAAGACAAAATATAAATCTGTCTATTATTTTCCAAATTGCAGCCGCACAGTTATTCCAACAAATCATTCTAAAAAATTAATAATCAATCCTCTGGACTTTGTCTCCAAGTCTGAAGACGTTTCTCTTCCATCCAGGAAGATTTTTCAATCCAAAATGTCAGAAATAGCGTTTAGTTCCAGGTTTTATCCAGCAGCCCAACAAAGCCTGGTTTTAGTTTAGAAAACATGCAAATAGAAACGGATGAACGGGTCCCCCCCTTTGGAATGGGGGTCGTTTGGCTTCTTTGTTAGCCTGCAATGCCCCATACCTGTCTATGTCTCTGAAAGGGGGGTCGTTAGAGGGAATTGTTGGTCTTCTGTTCCCCTGTAAAGGGGAATAACTCTCTGGGTTAGTAATGTTTCCTGTCGATCCGGACGGTTCTGATTCTGTTGTGAACGCATCATGAAAGGTGTCTGTCTCTGGACTCTGCCAGGTTCCCGCTGGCCCGCCCAGATGTCTGCAGTAAGTGGGTCGCCGCCATGAGGAGGAGCAACTTCAGGCCCACTAAGTACAGCAACATCTGCTCGCAGCACTTCACCCAGGACTGCTTCAAGAGGGAATGCAACAACCGCGTTCTGAAGGAGAACGCCGTCCCCTCCCTGTTTGGCTTCAGCCTCAGCATAAAGGTCAGAGGTCAGACCCGGATCCGTCCTCAGGAACCTGGTCTGCCTGGAGATCAGGCTCTGCTAACATTTCTATCATGGAGGAAAAAATCAGTCCATCACTAGTCATTTTGGCTCTTTACTGCTAACTGTCGTTAGCATAGACATATAAAGAGTAGATGCTCATGCACTCCTACTGCCGATAGAGGAAGCGGAGCTGACCTCAGCCAATCACGTGGCACAATGACTCCGCCTCCTTGGATGGCAGAACAAACCAGCAGGATTACTGGGTTAGCCAGATAACTTCAGGTTTAACTCTGACGTTCCAGTCTTAGTAATGGTGGTTACCATGGTAACCTGCCCTGAACGGCTGAACGGGGGGGGGGGGGGGGGGGGGGGGGGCTTTTTCCACTCAGCAGCCAATCAGCTGTTAGGAAACAGTGACGTCTCATTTGATTGAAAACCTAATTTCATTCAGAGGAAAAATATCTTTAACAAAAGAACCGAAAAACTAAATATTTTCTCAACAAATTGAAGAGATTTAAATGTATTTATAGATTTTCCCTCCTGTCTAATGTCTTCACACATCTCTATTCACCGCTTTATTCTACAATTGATTCATGAAGCTAAAAATAAACATCTGAATAAGAAATAAAAGTCTGAGCGCAGATTGAGAGAAGATCCTTTGGATCATGATGAATACCTGAGATCCAGACCTCTCTAACCCGAAACACCTTTAAAACTTTGACCTGATCTGGTTGAATCGTCTCTATAAAGTGACCTGAATCACATGAATTGAATTGGAGCTATAGAAATACCAGTGGGACCTAAGACCAGTGGGACCTAAGCAGTCATTCATCTAAAGTGCAGAATAGAGGAAAATGCACTTTCTGAACACTGTGTGATTGAATAATTCTACGCACTTTTCAGTTTCAGACTTTTTTTTTGTAAGAAGTGCAGCTGCTGAGAC